GCCAACCCCCAGCTGCTGGACCACGGGTTTTCTCGGGCTGGGGGCCTCTCCGGCAGCGGAGCGCTGCTCGGGAGCCCGGCACGTTCCCGGGGACCGAGGTTGCTCCTGGCTTGCACCGTTACGATGTGCAGCCGCCTAAAGGACGTTAAACTCAAGTGGCTGTGAGTTTTAAAGTGCCTTTTTTCTTCCCTGATTTTTAGAGCTTTTCTACATCTTGTGAAAGGCACAGAGGAAAGAAAGAACGGTCTAAAATGACAAGAGATTTAAAAAAAAATAAATGAAGTTTGGCAGAGATTAATAAAAATGGTATAAAAAAGAAAGATAAAAGTTTTTTTTTAAAAGAAAGTGTTTGCCTTAGGTACAAATAGGACAGATACTCTGTCCATGTAAGTTTTGGGACAAGCACATGGTTTATCAACACCCAGTTTTGCCTCCACGAGCCACTCACAGCGTCGCACGGGCGGAGGGTTCTGGAGCGGCCCCAGAGCATCAGCCAGCTCCGTGGACCGGGGGCGGGTGTAACCTCACCCACGCTCATCCCAACTCGGCGGTTCCCCAAAGGATCAGCAAATCCCAGAACGGAGCGTTCGGGATGCGATCCGCTCCCCGCGAGGCCGGACAAGGCTGCCCATCACTCTGGTTGCCCCCCAGCCACTGGGTACCGGCCGCCGTCCTGCCCACGCTGTGTCCACACGTGGCACTTGCCCAAGACCTGCACCTGGCCCAGCAGGGCACGGTTTTGGTTTTTTTTTCCCCTGTAAAATGCGTGGGTTTAGGTGAAGGTGTCCTGGGGGCAGGGGGAGGGTGGCTAACCCACCCATGGCAGCACTGCCAGGAGCAAACCTGGGCAGAAACCCCCCAGAATTGGGATTTCCATCAGGAGTTGCCCAACTGAAACCATCACTTAATTCACTCGGGCTTCCCAACGAGGTGACGGGCACCCTCTGGGTGCCCCAAGGATGGGCTCCCTAGTTTTCCTCTGCTCTGCACAGCCCCTACACTGAACAGAAATACACCCCCTCTTCTTTCCAGCAAGTGCTGATAAAGCCCTTTAATATCCCACAGAAACGTGGAGCATTGGCTGTGCCGGCAAAAGCAATGACATTTTGCAGCATTAAACCCCCCGTAGTTTTGTCTTCACAAAAGCAAAGCTTTTTATCACTTTTGTATCCCTTTTGTGTCCCTTTTGCTTTGTACTACAAGGAACTCAGGTTTTGCATTTCAAGTAAACACTTTTGTCTTACACCCTCGCTTGCTGCTCGCTCCAGCCCAACCAGGCAGGCCTGGATTTCACTTGAGAAGCTTTTGGGTTTTTTTACCTTCTTGTAAAATTAACGTAGACTGGAGGGTCAGGCACAACGGCTCGGGTGAGCGATATACCTTGGCAGCAAGGGGAACATGAAAGGAGCACCGTGAAACAGTAGAACAAAATACAGCAAATTCTTTCAATAGATCCAGTCGCTCACGTTCGTGTGAATAAGGAAAAATTACGTTTGAGGAGACACCCGCGGGTTCCTGGCTCCTGTCCCAGCACACTGTGCAGCACACAGAGTGCTGCTTCACTTTTCTTAATCCCTTTTTATTACTTTATGGTTGTTGGGTTTGGGACAAAAATGATAATATTCCCCTAAAATATAACCCTTTATAAAGTACCACCTAGAGAAAATCTCTGTATTATTATTCACATTTTCATGTGATGAATACTTGAAGAGCTGGAATAGGAGATTTTAATATTAATGGAGATTCATTGGATTTTCAGAAAATGTTTAGTTCCTACCACAAAACAAAAGCCAGCCTAATTTACACCGATGCAGGCCAAGAAAAGTCTTGAACTGTGGCTGCACTCGCTGCTTTTAATGCTGCATCTGCAGCCCCGTGTGTTATCTGTAAGATTACCAGGAGCTCCTACATCCTGCCTGCTCTCCCTTCCAAACCAGCTCCGTTTGCAGCACAGTGCCGTGAGCGTGTGGGCCGGGATGCTCGGTCCAGTGCTGGGCTGTAAAACGTCCCTGCCATCTTCTTTATGCCAAATTGCAAAATCCACTAAACACTCCTCCACAGGCATCCCCCCCCCCGCTGCTATTTCAGAAGTTATAAAGAAGTTGCCCCGTGCACTGCTGTTCCTCAGCGCGTGCCACCCTGGTGTGCTGCAGTCAGTACTCACCGGACAACTCCGCGACACAGAACACGATCCAGAAAAGCTGCCTCCACTTCATCATTTTGAAACTTCCCAAGAACAGCATTTTTTTTCCCTCTAAAACTGGATCTGGCAGTGACAGCTCTTGGGTTTTCAGTCCTGCAGCAGCTCTGAGCTCATGGAGCTTGGTTTGCGTTCAAGCCTTTGAGATCACTCGGTTGTGGGGTGGGTTTCTCTTCAGGGGTTGTGCTTATGGTTCAAGACTGCGAGGTGGAGTTTCTCCGACTCGATTTCACAGTTTTATATAGTTCATGGCAACCTCACTATCACTTAGGTAATTTTCTCCTCCCCACTTTCCTGCCAGCGCTTCAAAACAAACAAAGGAGCAACCCTCTCCCCAGCAAAGGATCCCAAAGCCTCGCTGGGCTTAACTCTTTCCTGAGAGCTGCTTGCTTTCCCATTAAAGTGCAGGCAGGGACACGACATGCTCCAGCTGGAAAGAAGGATTACAGTGGAGTCTGCTGCTAAACTTCCCTCAAAACAAAGTTAACACAATCTGATGAGATCAGGGAAGTGGAGAAAGCCCAGGTCCAGCCACCACCGGCGAGCCCCGGGCACGGTCCCAGGGCTGTGCTGTGGCCAGTGCCCTGGAAAGGGGAGAGCTCTGAAAACTGACTTCAGAATCGGAAATTTTCTCAGCAAATTAAGCAAGGAACTCAAGGATGCGAAATCATCACTGACCTGAAGAGAAGTAACTCCATTAGCTTCACTAAATTGACTTTGGTCAAACAGCGAGCACGAACAGAATGGTTTAGAGAAGGTCTGGGGGAGAGAAAAACCCAAAGGCAAAAACTTCTGCATAAAACCTGGAGCAGAAGAGGGACTTGAGACTAATAAATAACTTCCTGGAGCTCATTTCTATTCAGAACGCATTATAGAAACATTAAAACCAGTATAGAAATACTGACTTCAGTTTTATTACCAGGCTGAACTTGACCAAGTGGAAATGGGTGGCCCTGGCTCTCCGGTTCTCCCGTGGTTGCACCTCAGGCACACGAGGGACCAGCTTGGGAAACAGCCAAAGGATGCTCCGCAGCAGGCAGCAAACAGGGCTGAGTGAATACAGCCTAATGGGGCCCTGGGAGACATGAGTATCTCCAAAATTATTGTTTGCAGGTTTTTAAAAATTAATTTACATTATTATTTTTTTAGAATTTAAAATCATTTGATGTTTCCATTTCTTGATTTTTTTTTGTCTGGGGACACCAAAGGCAACAGAAATGTCTTAGCACTCATTTTGGTGATAAAAAAAAAAGAGAGGATCATTTGGGAAACTAAACTCTAGTTACGTCCAAATTCTTCCTTTTACAGCTAAAGGATGCGGTCACTGAAGGAGTCATTGCTAACAGGAAATCAAAAATAAGGGGCCAGGAAAATAGCTATGGAAGGAAGGGCAATGAAGCACTTGCTCAGTGTAGCATCTCTTTGTGGATGCGCCCACTACGCTTCCACAGTCATAAGTCAGCAAAAGGATTAAAAGACAGAAAAAAAGATGGGGTAGGATTATGTACAAAGCAACCCCTAAATAGCAGTTTCAGTACACACATTTATTGGTACGACAAAGTTCCAGTAACTTTTGTTTTTAGCATAGGACAGGGTTCAGACGAGATGATGTTTAAACGTCCCTTCCAGCCCAAACCATTCTGTGATTCTATGACAGGAAAACATCTCTGGGAGGAAACATCTGTAGCTAAGAAATGCACTGCAACGTCTATATAAAGATTTCTATTATGTCCAGTAATCCATTACTGAATGACAGAGCCACACAGCTCTGTTAAAGACCAAAATATCCCAGGAAAATATGGTCTACAACACGGTACAAAATCTGAGTGTGGCCAGAACCCGGCTGCCTCCAACAGCTCCCACCAGACAGTTTCCCTTTTTCCTCTCTCAAACACACACACACACCTTGGGCAACACGACTCAGTACATAACACAGGTCTGCACATAGAGCAGTTGAGAAAATACATTCGAAAGATGAAATGAGGAAAGTAGAGTGAGACAAAGGTCCTATTTAAATCACAGGTGTGTGTTGTTTTTTTTTTTTTTCTATTAAAGTGAGAATTTGGGTGGAATAACACAACTAAAAATAAAAGTTGAAATTTCAAAGTACCAGCCACTAGGAAGACAGAAGACCATCTGGTGAGGACCAACATCCCATTACACTGAACAGAATCACTGAATGTTAGGCATTGGAAGGGACCTCAAAGGATCATCTAGTCCATCAACAGCATCAAGAAAAGCTGCCGAGCTACATCTGGCAGGACAGAGCTTGGGACCACGCTTGTCCCGGGAAGGCAAAAACCTTAGAAAAGCTTAGAAATTTTATTTCAATACTAAAAATAAAGCAAACCGTAGGAACAGAGGAAAACAAACCAGCATTCTTCCATGCTGCAGAGCGAAAAGGTTACATAGAATTAAATGCAATTAAACAATGTCAACAGCCAAGGTGCACACATGGCAGATGCCTCCTGGTCATCCCTTCCGACCCCGGGGTCAGCCCAGCTGCCGGGGCAGCGCGTGCCAAGCCCCTTCTTTGCACAGGAGCTGCAGGTTTGCTCAGGACCACGGGCTGGTGC